AATTTTAATTTTTGAAAAATAATCATTTACTGGCATTGTGTTCCACTGTCTGGTATTTTCATAACACCACTTACTATATCATTATATTTTCTGTATTTCCTGTAATTTGGTTTTCATAGCCAGAGGCTCATTTAGGATTCTTCTTTCTCTTTCAATCCCTTTTGTTTTTACCTCCTCTACCCTTTCTTTTCTATTTTTGGAAAGAGCTATGTTCTTCTATCAAAAAGCACATTATATACCTCCCTTTTGTGGGGGTAGAAACCTTCACAAATTTTGTTTGATTTATTGTCAGCCTAGAAGAACCCAGATGGGTAAGGAATGATTTTGATAATTTATTTACAATATCTCAAAATAACAGGTTAATTCACAGTGACAATTTTTTTAAATTATTTTTCTTTATTATCATTACAAATTCAGTGACACATATGTCCAATATGCTTTAATCCAGGAAAGTCATTATCCCGTTGATTTTCAAATTATTTAGTAATTAGTAATTGGGGCCTCTTACAGAGCCCTTTTTACATGACCCCTTGTGGTGTTTGTTAGTTTTCTTATTATCTGGATGAGTAAGATGGTCAGGTTTATTTTGTGTTTTTCTATTATCTCTTCAAAGACTTCTGGAGATAGTATTGCAAGACCAAGAAATAGACAATGTGCTGCTCATTGTAATTGAATTGCTCATTGTTTCTAGGCATTTGCATTAGACAAAGTAAGAATGGAGATAAATATAAATTTATAGTGACACTGCTTTCTCCACTGTAAAGTTACTAATTTTCTCTTTCCACACTCTTATTACAAGAAGTGAGTCACTAATACAGGCCATGCTCTAATAGAGAGATATTAAATTCTACTTCCTAGAGGGGTCAGCCTAAAAGAACTATGGTCATATATTTAAATGACCATAATTGTTGGTAAACAGAGGGAATACTTTGAGGCTATTTCATTTAATATTTCACTAACTGAATTTAATGTTGCCTGCTGCATTTGTTACTAATAGAGATTTTCTACTGCTTACTATTTAGTTTTTTCTTTTAGTTAGAATTCAATACTATCATTATTTACTACATTCTATGTTACCAAACACATGTACTATGTTTACCATCACTCTGGCCTTGGTTATTGACAGGGTAATCTTGTATTTTATTTATTCCAATTCTAAATTTATCTATTTTTCAAAATGAACCTGACTTTTTATATTGGAAAATAGTATTTTGAAAAAATCTTTCAAGATTCCATTTTTTTAATAGCAGAGTAGTATTCCATCATGTTTATACACAACAACTAAAAACATTTAGGTTGTTTCCATATCTTAGTGTTGCGAATGGGGCTGCTATAAACATAGGAGTGCAGGTGTCTTTTGAATTAGTGTTTTTGTTTTCTTTGGAGAGATAGCCAGGAGCAGAACAGCTGTCGTATGGTAGTCCCATTGAGTGTTTTGAGGAATCGCCATGCTCCTTTCCAAAGGGGCTGGATCAGTCTACTTTCTCACCTACTGTTTCAGACGGTTCCTTTTTCTCCACAGCCTCACCAGCACTCATTGTTCATGAATTTTTTGATATTGGCCATTCTCGCAGGTAGTATCTCATTGTAGTGTTGTTGCTTTTTATTTCCCTTATAACAAGTGATGATGAATATATTTTCATATGTCTGTTGGCTTTCTGCATGTCTTCTTTGGAGAAGTGCCTATTTAGCTATTTTGCCCATTTTTTGATAGGGTTATTTGTTTTCTTTTTATTGAGTTGTATAAATGCTTTGTAGGTTTTTAATATCAACCCTTCATCAGATGTATGGTATGTAAATATTTTCTGCCCAGACTACATGAGCAAATGGAGCAGATGTGCTACCTGTACACAATGGAATACTACTCAGTGATCAAAAAAGATAACCTCATGCTATTTGCAGCAACATGGATGGAGCTGGAAGGGAATATGCTAAGCTAATTGAGCCAGAAGGAGAAAGGTAAATACCAGATGGTTTCATTTATATGTGCAATATAGAGAAACAAATCAAAGGATCAGTTGAAGACAAACTATAAGACTGACCTGTGAAAGCTGACAGACATAGATCTGAGACATTCAAGAGGCATGGGGATAGAATAGAGTAGAGAAGGGGCTTGGGGTATGGAGGAGAGCATGGTGAAGTGTAGTGGAAGACTGCTGGCACTTTGTTTATGGGAAAAATATGGTGACAATACCTAAGGGAAGAAATCCTATATTGTGGGGGCCTCCCTGGTGGTGCAGTGGGTTGAGAGCAGAACTGTGAAACTGTCCCCAGCCTCTGCAGCGCAGGTTCGATTCCTGGCCAGCCAGAGTGATAACCACATGGTGCCGCAGACTTCTCCTGTCTTGCCCGCTGCTTCCCTCAGCAGTGTTTACAGTCAGTCTTCCTATTCTGTTCCCCGCTCTGTCTTTGGTGAATCCTTTCACCCTCCCACACCTCTGGCCTGTATCCCTGTTCTTGTATAAATAAATAAAATCTTAAAAAGAAAAGAAATCCTATATTGTGAAAAATTAAACAAGGATCTTTAAAAACAAGATTTCTAAAGGCAAGTTGAAATTCTAAAATGGAAAGCACTTTGCATATACCAAAGTAAGGAAGCATTTTAGACTGTAAAGCAAGAAATGTTCTGCTTCCTTATTAAACCTTTTCCATAAGACACCTAGAAGTTAGGTGATAAGTAGGTGAGTAGGTTGTTAAATTAAAAGGCCCAGGGCAAAATAAATATTGGGAATGTGAAAGGCTCTAAAATGTCAAGTCTTATCTTTCCCCTTAGTCTCTCTCTGATTTCGTCGCAGTGTTTTTATTTATATTCAAGAAAGTTTTACATGAGAGGGATAGTACATTTTAAGTGCCAATCCAGAATGAGCAATAATATTAGTCAATAATTGTTTCAGGAAAAGCATTATGATTTATTATAATATTTATCAATGCAAACATTAATGATGTTTATTGTTTTATGGATAGTTTCAACTGGTTTCTTATTTTGTTTTATTTAGGAAAGTAGTCTTGGCAAGGACACATGATAAATAGTTCATTGCTCATCATTTTGATTTATTCTTCTGAAATTAATAAGCAAAAACAGAAGTTTGCATTATAAATCTGTTTAATAGAATTATGGAGAGCAGAGTTCACTAATGGCAGCAGTTTACATACATATCAAAGTTATAAATAACCTCATAAGAGAATACCATTAGGTTTACTACTTTGTATCTGATAGTATAAAGATGAGGTCAATAAATAGAGGAAAAGTGGATGAGTAAATTAGTGTTTGGAAAAAAAAAAACAAACAAAAAAGATAATCCTGACTGCTCTCTACGCCTCTATTTTTGACCAGAAATAAAAACATCTTCATGATGCTGTTTATATTGCTCGGAGCTGTGTAATAACGAGAACAGAAATACAAACACTTGAAAATTATAATGCAGTAGGAATCCAGACACATTCATAACAACAATATGAAAATACATATAAAAATATATAATATGTATATCTCTACTTTTAATTTTTTTTCATAAGCAATTCTCAGCATTCCCATTGGATATGTTCTAAAGATAGCTGTCATCTCAATTCTATAAAGACAATAAAAGTAGACAAAAGACGGTAATATTTGAACTGGGCAAATTTTTAAAGTTACTTCTTATTTGATAAAGAAAGTAGAAATAACTGAAATACAGATAAATTTTAGAATATATTCTTAAGGTATGTGTGGGGAAAGTTTATGTAAGTTTACTTCAGCAGCAATCAAGTAACTGAATGATTATTTATATCCATCCATTTCAAAATATTAACAAAGTCAGTTTTAAGCAATATCATTATACCAGTACTTCTCATGCACATTAGCTACCAAAAAATCTTACCAAAGTATAGATAAGAATTTCTCCGGCAATGAGTGGGGTCTGAGAATCTTCTTATAAGAAGCTCTTGTATGGTACAGTTGTTGCTTCTGGAACCATAGATGCAGTTGCCAAACTCTGAAAGGCACTAATGTAAATATAGTGTGAAGACAAATGTAGTGAGGTAAAAATGGTTGGAGAAGGTAAGCTCTACAGAAAATTCCAACCAAAATAATTTCTTGATCTGTATAGCGCAATATTTTGCAATTATATCTCAGTCATAGTGGGAACGAAACTCTTCTCTTATTTCTTACGATCAGTGTTTCTGCAAAAGCAGATTTTTCCTTAAGGAGTTTTGTTTGGCTATTAGTATAAGCAATATTTAATGATACAAGAGACAATTTTGGAAGTCAGTATGCAATAGATGCAAAACAATTCTCTAGATACCTGCCACTTATTACTTCATTGCTCTGTGTTAAATATGGCTTATGTCCTTAGTTCAATCTACCTCTATTTTTTAAGATTTTCTTCCTTCATATACTTATGTCTGGAAGAATCACAGCCACTCCCCCCGCCCACACACAGACTCCAAGTGTCCTTTCAATGACTATGTACAAAGCCTGCTCTGTTCCTGATCACTTCAATGGGTCTAATATTAAAACAAACAAACTCTTGACTTTCCCTTAGAAAACTGAATTCATTAATAGACTAATAAATGATAAAGGGGCCTCCCTGGTGGCACAAGGGTTAAGATGCAACCTATGAGGCAATCCACAGCCACTGTAGCATGAGCTCGATTCCCGGCCAGCCAGGGAGTACCCCACATGGCACAGCAAACCTCTCCTGACTCACCCGCTGCTCCCCTCAGCAGTGTACTTTGGTCAATCTGCCTGTTCTTTTCCCCACTCTGTCTCTGGTGAATCCGCTCACTCCCACACCTCTGCCCTGTCCCCCAGTTCTTGTATGCATAAATAATCTTTTTTAAAAAATAGACTAATAAATGATAAAATCTAACTAATAATAGCTATAGTTAAAGTTTATATATCCTTGGCAGTACTCTAAAAATGTGCATATATTAACAAGTTTAACAACTCTATTAGATAAATCTTGTTATTACCATTTTAATTATTGGGAAAGAGGAGAACATAAAAGTTAACTCACTTGTGCAAGGCCACGTAGCAACATATGGAGCTGGGACCTGGAGCCAGGGAGACTTGCCCAAAGGTCCTCACTCCATAGCTTCAAGCTGCTATAGTAACAGAAAATTTCTCTATTAGAGGCATCACTCTCCATGGAGGGTCTTTGTGAGGTGGTGGCAGAAAGTGAAACTTCTGGGATCTGTTTACAAAACTTCTGGTTCACCTGACACACTGATGGACTCCTTTCTAATTCCAATTATAAGTGTGGCTAATAATTCTGTGAAGATTTTCACTGGCTTTTTGCATGAAGTGTCTTACCTCAATTGTCTGCATAGCTCTTATCATCTTCTCCCAGTTTCTTGGACAGGCCCCTCTTAGTAATTACATATGTGTAATCTTGAAGATCAAAGGAGTTGTTGCCAATGGGTCACCCTCAACCAAGGGTTAATGAATAAATGCTTTACCCTTGTATTCCCAGGTGGACAGTTCTGAGAAGATGGTATCAGCAAACTTGTATGTCATCTATGTCCCCTGGGAAGCATGGTTAAGAAATATTTTTTCTGTACTATCAGTGTTTGCTTCTTCAGCATATACTTAAGTTGGGCCTTAGTCTTGTATGTGTTTCCTTAAGTATTTGGAAATGTGGAAGATGACCATTTTGTCTTTTTGTTGACAGATAGTATAAAAATTTAGATTCTTATAGGAAATTAAAGCTCCTATGTTGCATTTATGTTTGAATATTTGATTTGTGAGGAGGTTATTTTAGAACAAAGAAGTGCCTTGGATTCTAAACTGACTGAGAATGGTCTTTCTGTGTCTGTTTTTCAGGGAAATAATCTGCTCCCTTAGTCTTTCAATTACAGAATTACAGTTTTTTTTGCAAATCTATTGGGATGATGTCATTTTGAAAAATTTTTCAGGTGGGAAATACAACTTATTGATTTATTTAATAGAGAAACTAATTCAAAGCAAGCCAAAAATTATAACTTCATCATAGAGATAACAATGAGATGAAAATTGATAACATTTCAAATTACTGGTCAGAGATGTACTTTTCACTACACCTGGATTGACCATATGCTTACTTATGTCAGAGTATTGTTTTACATGTTGTTATTATTTATTAATATTGATGTGACAATTTTAATATTTTTCTATTGGAAATATGGTAAAAATGGAGCACCATCTCTTGAGCACTTGATATATTACTTTACAATATTAGATTAAAATGTTTAGATTTAGATTAAAATGTTTAAATATTTGGTCAACTGCTAGGTCTCAGTATTTGAATGACAGAGACTTATTTGCACATATGTGTGAAGGGAAAGAAGAGGTGTGGTAAATTCTAGCCATTGTTATTTATTTTAAATTTTATCTCATAATGGTGACATGTCATTCTAGGTAATTCTTACATATTATCTCAGTGATATGTTCTCATAAGTTAAAATACATATGTCAAATATCTATTAAGAACATTATTGATTATGCATGTGTTTGTCTAGGGAAAGAAAAAGTAACACTTTTTTACTCTGAGATAGCTAGCTCTTACTTTATTGAAAAAGTTACATTTGTTTTTTTTTTTTTTTTTAGAGGCATGTTTTATTTATTTATTTGTTTGTTTTGTTTATACATGCACTGGGTACAGTCAGAAGCGCAGGAGGGTGAGAGAATTCACCAGAGCCAGAGTGGGGAGCAGAGCAGGCAGAAGGACCGAAGTACACTGCTGAGGGGAGCAGCGGGCGGCAGGAGAGGTCTGCGCGCCATGTGGGACCCTCCTCCAGTGGCCCGGGGGAGCAGCCGGGGATCGAACCGGCGCTGCAGAGGCTGCGGGCAGCTTCGCAACCCAACGCTCAACCGCTGCGCCACCGGGGAGGCCCGAAAAAGTTACATTTGAAACTTCATAGGATGTTTCCATTTTATATTAAATTCATGTGCTTGGATATTGTCTCTAGGAACCAATAATAACAACTCTAAAAAGTTTGGTTTCATATATTATCTTCAAGGGAATTTAATTAATAATGGATAACATTAAGGGCTCTTGTCTGCTTAGAAGAGAGTGTATAATTTTAAATGGGAAGGAAAATTTATCCCTGAGACTGTTATTGCTGATATTTATTGGAAAAAAATTTGAGACCACTATTCCTAATATCTCTATTGCCATTTACTGAATGTTTTAACAATCATGATTATCTAATACTCCTTTAAATAACTTAGCACCAAAAAGAAGTTATTAGCAACATTTTATTTTCTGGTAGAGACATTTACTTTCTTATAATTCATCCTGCATATATTTGTTTTAAATATTATAAACACCACAGGTAATCTGTATGAAAAGTCAAATGCAACAACTGGTTTAGGGTACCTGTTATATGTAACTTTCTTGATTAGTAAAAGTACCCTCTATATGGAAAGTACAGTTTCATCTCAAAAACTGACAACTTGGGTTCCCAAAATGTTAAGATTGTGTACTTTGATAAATGATACTTGCAATCTCTTTTCTCATTTTTGATAATTATTTTCATTTTTACCTGCCTTTAATTATGTCTTCAGAGTGATTCTACCAGGCAATGATGTTAATTGATTGAGTCCTAAGGGCCATGTAGTCACGAATCTAGAAGAAAGGAGAAACATCACTCTAACAAAATGGTCTCTTGTTTTGGTAAAGCATCAACAGACAGCTTAGGCTAACTTAATGATTTTCTGGTTGTGTTGTGCATACATTGAATTGTTTCTCAATGTTATCCAGAAAATTTTCACATTTTTTAAGTAAATTAATTCACAGAAGAAAAAGGGGTATATTTGTTTAAAAGGATATAAGACAAGGAAAACAAAAAAAAAAAAGTCCAAGGAAGTGTTAATTACAGTTTGAATGTTCAACAACTACTAAAGTTCTCAAATACACTGAAGAACAATTAAGAATTACTCTAATCAAGTCACAATATAAATTTTGGAAATGCATCAATCAATCACAGCCTATAGGAAGCAATATAAAGCTAAATATTTTGATAGAGAAATCTATATCACACATAACTCAGATATACAAAGGTCTCTTTATAGACATATATTTTAAAATTTTCAGTCACTTTTAGTTTAAAAACTGCCCCCATGAAGCAAGAAATAAAATCTGTTCTACCTTACTTCGACATGATTTTTAACTTTTCAGTTTGTCAGAAGTAACCTCGAAGAATTTACATCAGGCAGCTTTTTTTTATGCTTAGAATGCAAGTTCTATAATGATATTGATTGATTTGAAGGGCATATTAGAGATGAAGCCAAGTCCTTGGAGAGAGGTTGCCATCACCTTGACCTTGGGTCAGTGTTAGACCACTGATCTTTGAATCCAAGACCTATCTACCAGATTCTGATATCTTCCATGTAACCGGAGCAAGTCAGCAGGGCACTTATGTCGATGTGACTCTTGCCAAATCAGAATTGACTGGCCAGTAGGAAGCCTGCTAGCAGTGGGAAATGTGGGTTAAAGTATGTCAATAATGTTTCAGAGGAACGATTTCTCCCAAGAATTGTAGCTGTTGGAATGTTTTGACATTTATTCGGTAGAGAAATGTAGCATGTTTTGTGAAGCACTTCAAGAGAGCTGCTGCTAACTGCTGTGGTATATTGATCTTTCTGTTAAATTGCATGGGCACACTTGGGAGATCATTGAGATTCAGGCAACAGGACAGAAAGGATCGGCTGCACCCGATGGTCACTAATGGTAATTGGTTTCGATCCTTGCACTTGAAGAAACCATGATTTACTTGGTTCACTCATGAATTGTAGACACTAATTATTTTGGAAAAAAAAAAACATTTTTAAAAATATTTTTGAATGACAGCACTCCCATTCTAGAATGTGTCATGTATATAATAAATTTAACAATGTAGACAATATATCAAGTCATGTCATTTAAATTCTGATTTTCCTTGTTACTTTTAAATTATATCATTTGTTTAACCATGAGTTTGCTTCTCAACTTGCTCATAAGTGACTTTAAAGCAGTTTACTACCTTTGAGTGTTTTCATTTGAACTTTGTTCTGTAATTAAAAAGAAATATATTTGAATAGTGTGGGGGGGAATAAGAGTACATTAAAGCATAAAGTAGAAATAAATTGACTTCTGCCCCAATCAAGTACTTTTCCAAAATTTTTAGCATATTACAGGAATTCTGAGCTTACTACAACTGATGTTCTTCCATATTAACACATACTGATAAACCTTTATTTGAGTGATTACATGTTATGTAACAGTATAATGCTCATTTTGGATCACTATTTAGACTAATACTAGGTATTTTCTTTCTTCTCTAGTTCTTAAAACTTTGCAATGTGTGTATAGATATGGATATATGCAAATATGCACACACATATATAATCATAGTGGCAGTTGTGTGTGCATGTGTATCAGAATTATTGGTAGAGCTAGAAAAAGGAATTTATACACACATTCTGATATTCTGGTGACAGGCAGTTTTATTTAGAGCACATTTCCCAAAATTGAGCCACTTTAATAAATATTGCCTTATTTTATTTTCCAATGATTGCAACATTAAATATCCCTTTTAGATCCACTACATTATTTTTCCTATCTATATCTATGACATTAATATAATATTAGCAAAAATTTAAATTACTTTATTAACACCAAAATAACTTGGGGATTAGAAGATTAAATATTTAAATTAATAGAACAGAATGAATAGAATATAACCTTCTAAAATCAATGAAAGATCTTAAATTTCATTACTATATTTGCACTTTGTGGTCCCATTCATATTTTGCATTCATAATAATTCAATAAAGAAACTTTTAAAAACCCTATTATATAAAGTAGGTCTAAACTTTGATTCAGAATCTATTTCTTTAACTCACAGGTGGATGAAAAAAGGATCCTCCAGAGAAGAAGACTATGAAAGAAAAGAGCATTTCTACTGACTATTAAACTTGAGGATTTTTTGTAAACTTGTATTACACAGGAAATCCCTCACATATCTCATTGAACCATAATTCATGAGAAATACAAAGAACTTAGTGTTCTCCATTGTGTTAAAATTTATAATATACATTAGATCCTGTGGGAGCTTGTGACCATGAAAGTCAGTAACATTAGCATTTCGTTGGACTGTCATTTTCTATTTCTTTTTTTTTTAGATTTATTTATTTTATTTATACAAGCACTGGGTGCAATCAGAAGCATGGGAGGGTGAGAGAATTCACCAGAGCCAGAGCGGGGAGCAGAGCAGGCAGAAGGACCGAAGTACACTGCTGAGGGGAGCAGCGGGTGGTAGGAGAGGTCTGCGCACCATGTGAGACTCTTGCCCTGCCACTGGGGATCGAAACGGCACTGTAGAGACTGCGGGCAGCTTTGCAACTCAGTGCTCCACCACCGCGCCACGGGAGAGGCATTCATTTTCCATTTCTAGGTAGACAATATTCATGAGAAACATCAGTGGGAATCACAGGAGGCAGACTGTGTTGTTGCCATCTGTGTTGTGGCAGTGAACTTGTCTTACAGATTCCTGACAATGTGTTTCAATCTTTTCTGGAGGACTCAACACTAGTAGAGACAGAGGATTATCCTTTCTGTCCTTCCCATTCACAAGGTTTCATCCAATGTCCCAATAAATGTACTAATTAGGCCTAATTGTTCTAATGGACACTCAACTAGTAAGACTTAACAGATGCCACCAGTTCAATCAAATAACAAAGGATTTTGTTGAAAGCTATGGACTTACGGATTCCAACTGTTGACTTCAAAGTAAAGGACAAATAAACTTCCAAATTTTGTCGGAATTTCTAATACATGTTTCTTTGTGTTCTGAAAGTATGGTTAGAATCAAATAGTTTCTGGTAGGTGTTCCATGAAAAGTAGTTTTTTCCCATAGCATTGTATTCAAAGGAATGCAGCATGATACCAAATATGAGACTACTTGAAGTACGAAGTGACCTATTTTCCTAATATTTCTCACTCTGTTCTTTCCTCTAGTTTTCATATTTCCAGATATTTCACAGAATGATGTGTACATATTCTTCCTTATACATTTCCCAAACCCCAGTTTCCAGCTGTCTTCTGAAGCGTAGAGATACATAGATATCTATAGCTTCACACACACACACACATACATATACACATACAGACATATATCTGGCAACTTGGGTAAGTTGTTTCCTGGAGTCCATGAAATAGAATTATGACAGAGATCATAGCTTCACTATCGCCTTCCACAGCTGAACATCCCTGTCCAAAATATGTACTTGTAGGACTCCCACAGTATTAGGCTATTACCAATATCTTTCTTATTTCTGTTATGATCATATTCTGATTCTGGATCTTTCCATTTTCTGTACAAACTCTAGAATCCTCTTTTAATTGCTACAGTAACTTGCTGAAATTTTGGTTGTTTCTTTAAACATCATCATATTCTACAATTACCTCAAAAATACTTTCTTCAAGGGCCTCTCCTGGTGGCGCAGCAGTTGAGCCCTGCAGTGCCAGTTTGATCACTGGTCACTGGGGAGGGTCCCACAAAAAAAAAAATTTTAAATACTTTCTTCAATATATAGAGAGGCGTTGAAAAAGCAGACGTAGATGTTTTAACATTTATGGGGGGAGGGGAAATTGTTCTATTTTTATTCCTAATGTTACAAACTCACAGTGAAGGTCCTGGTCAAAAATCATGTAAAGACTTTCTGAGCAGAGTATCATATAACTATTTCTGTTATATATTTGAATAAATCCACTCATGAGAAGGTTTATATGTACACACTCAATTTATTGAAATGATGGATATTTTCCAACATTTCCAAATAATCACACTTTCTCTAAGTATGGTTGCATACTATATTTGATGCTTTTCTTACAGAATTCATTTGGGGTGAATAGGTGAGAATGGCCAGAGAGAGGAAGTAAATGAATAAGCTCTTTTACAATTCCTTGAACCTTTAGGTGATGCCAAATTAAGGAATGTGAAACAGCTTTTCCTATTTTTTTCAAGTTTTTTTTCCCTCAGATCATAGTCATCATTTAATAATGTTGAAGCATTAAATCATAATATTTTACATTTTAGGACATAATATTAAGAAGTGGAAAATGGGTTAATTGTAATTTTAATGATAACGTATCCTCTTCGAAGCTGTTTATGTGACCCATAACTCAATGGCATTTACAATTGACTACATATAGTTTGAATATCTGAAATATTTAGAAATTATATTAGGTAATGATAACCCCAAGACATAATGCAAAAATAGAAAGTGCACATACGATAGCCCAAGGCATTCTCTGATTAGGTCAGATCTATGTGGTCTATGGGCTTTATTTGAAAATCCTTTTACTAAAATGTTTTCATACCTGGTTTGGGGCTCTGGGATGAAGCAACTGTTCACCAAGGATAGGTAAGATTAAATACTGCCAACGGGAATAGGGAATCCAATATTAAATGATACCAAGCTTGTTATCTATCAGACATTAAATAACCAGGGCTCTTAAACAGCACTCCTGTAACAACATGCCCCATCTTTAGCTGCTCCAAGCAATGTTTCAGATAAAAGTCCACGTGATCAGTTTATAGGTCTGTGTACTGTTAATCAAGAAATGTTGCTCCAGGCCTCATG